TTACTGTTTATTTTACAGCTTGAATCTCACATTGCCGTTCTGAGAAACTGTGTGAGAGGGAGAGGGCGCAGCCACGCACGCACATCTGCGAACAATCATCCGTCTGACCCAGGCTCCGAACGTGCGTCCTACGATAGCAAAGCTTTAGCTCTGCTGATCCTGCGTGTTGACTTGGCCTCACTGCCACCTGCTGGTGTCCTTGTTAGACCCGGAGCAGCAGACCCAGGATCTTTGGCTCTTTAACGTTGAGTAAAACAACATCCAGCAGATCACGTATGAGAAGAGAGCTATGCAGGAATGCAAGGTTAGGACGGCCCCTCGCGAGAAGCCCCCTCCCGGAACGAGGTCCCGAGAGGAAGAACTGAACGCTGCCTGGGGTTAGCCTCCTTCTCCCCCAGAAAAGCCACTTGAAGAGCCTCCAGATGAACTGCTCAGAAACTTGGAAATTTATTTAAAGACATATTCCTAGGGTCCAAGATAATAAACATGAAGCAGAAAGTCCGATATCTGCTGTACTTCAAAAAGCCAGACAGCACCATGCAAATGTAAAAACCATGTTCCCCTCTTAAATATACAACAGCCAGACACAGCGTTTCCTCCATTTTTACTGCTAATTAGAAACATCAGGCAGAGATTAGTTCAGATTTAACCTTAAGGAAGAGAGTGTCTCAGAAAATGTTTCAAAAGGAATTGCACAAATGCCTGTTCCATTCCTGCCCCGTGACCCCCAGTGCTGTTGGCCCCAGCTTACAGCCCGGCGTTAACCTCCCTGCCTTCCTTGGCCATGGACTGCAGAGGCTACTGGATTCTCCAAACCTCTGGCATTCCATAGTACAATTATTCGAACCAAGCAGCTAAAATAGCCTCATACTGTAAGAACAAATTAAACATTTTTGTTTGTTTTTCTAGTCTAAGTCCTGATCAAGTCCAGTAGAGAAAATTATTTTAAATAGATACTTTAAAAAAAATGAAGCTGAAGCATCTGATAAAATATCACCAGCTTTGGAGTTAGCATCATAGCCTGGAAAAGCTCAGCGTCGTCCTGTCTCTCGCAGTAACGCTGGTTCATCTCTGCCAGCCTCGCTCAGCTCACTTGTAGACTGGGGCCCACTGCCTGGCGCCCTAACTGGCAGTGGTTCTGGGACCGCGTCCGTCCACCCATGACCTAGGCTCTGACCACTGATGGGGCAGGGAGCTGCCCCGCGAGGAGCAGAGAGCCCCCAGTGCACGCCGGGGCAGCCTGTGGGCTCAGCTGAGCTGGCCCTAGCTCCGGGTGCTGGCACCCGGCTGCTAATTCGACTGATGAGGATTCCAGAGGAGAAAAGCCAGTTTCCTGGAACTGCTTCTCTAGAGACCTGAGTCATCCCCAGCTGCTGTTCAGTTTTTAATTTTGAAACAAAACGGACTCATGAGCTCCTCTTCCAGTGGCCAATTCTTGATGCCCTGGGTCCACGAAAACCAAAGGTCAGGGACAAACCAGGGGTATCTGATAGAAATACTTTCCACTGTACCTTTCCCTGGCCACACCTACCGGGCAGATGTTTCTCCGCACCTCGTGAGTGTTAAAATTCAGGAGAAGAGCGGGACTGCGCTAGGTGAAATGCAGCCAGACCCCTACGAAAGACTAACAATTTGCCTTTGGGAGAAGGTTTGGCAGAACTTTTTCATATTTGTCCTATTTTTCTGCTTTCCTTTCTCTTTTCCAGGGTTTGTTTTTTTTTAAATAACAGTTACCTCTCTGCTAAATAAACTTAAAATATGCTACTCTGTAAAAGACTGGTCGGTGGCAAGTAGCTCCTGTCTTCACGTGAAAATCCAAATCATACTCTTGCAGACTTGTGCTCTCCTGATGCGCCTGGTCCCGGACCTCTGCCGATGGGAGCAGGTTAACAGGTGCGGGAGCACCCAGGAAACGCCGGCCCTGCTTTGCTTCTAGCCCTGGGACCTCAGACCAGCAATTCACCTCCCTGCGTTCCTTTTCTTCATCTGAGGTGTCAAGGGTGTGGGGAGAGCGTCCACCAAGGTAGCAATTTGGGGATATTTCAAGTAGCCAAATGGAACTCATCTATTTCCAACCAGAGGGCAGAGCCTAAGTCTCAGTCATTTTTGTCCCCTCCCAGGACCTCAAAGCTCCATGCCCCAGTGCACAATGGGGTTTATTAAGCCTAAAGGAGAATGAGGCCCGGAAGCCAAGTAGAGGGCTGGCTTCTTCACTCTGAGTGGGAATTCTGTAACTCGGGACCCTAACAGGGGATATCTCGGGCCAATAATCATAATTTCGAGTCAGAAATATATTTTTCATTTACAAATATTTCAAATGAGACATTCATAATTATACTTGGCGTGAATTTTGTTTTAATATGTTCAAGCAAGTTGCCTATCAGGAGGAAGTAACAAAGGGCAGGCAATGAAAAGTTTGGGAGTTACTGAATCGCTTCATCTTAACATCCCTTCCAGTTCTGAAATTCAGGAATCCTCCGCAGACCCAGCGTGGCACAGATGTGCAGACGTGCTCGGGTTCCGAAACACCTTCCTGTTAATTTAAACTCTTTCCTCAGTGGATATTGGTAACACGTTCCCTTTGAAAGTTCTTATGCGGTTAGTGCCCTTGTGAGGAAGGCACTTGAGAGGGCAGAATGCTTCCTTCCAAGCGTTAAGTTCACCTCAGTGCATTCAGACCTAAGCACAGGGGAAAAACTAAAATTCTGAATTTACATCTACTTCAGATGTTACTGTCCCATTTTTTTAAATTATGTATTGAAACAGCCTCTAGGTGGGTCCCAAAGCGACCCGTGACGTGATCTCTGCTGAGATGTCTATCAACAGACGCCTGCGACGCCCGGAGCCCCTTCCCCGGTACCCCTTGCATCACGGAGAGGTTTTTCTGGGGCTCAGAGGGGTGTATCGCCCTCTAGAGGAGGCAAAGCCACACTGCACCCCCAGGAAAGGCTACATGGGGCTGGAGGTACGAAGTCACAATTTCATCTCCTTCCCAGAATAGACCGATGAGACCAGAAAGTACTAAAAACTATGTTTTCAAAAATTATCATAATGAGTTTCTGGGAAAAACTCCTCTAAAGTCAGGGTTACGGCAAGCCACGTGTTTTCTCTAAAGGGCAGGACGACCCGGCAGATTTTTACCTTGGAAGGAGAGAATCCGGATCTAGACATGTGGATGGGAGAGCCTTTCCTTGTCCGGCTCAAGGCTGCCTGAAGAAGCAGGAACTTTTTAAAGCTTCCTTACTTTACAACCTGAATCATTCTGAGCTTTTATTTCCTTAGCGAGAGCTACTAATAGGATTTTTTTAAATGCCAGGTCACTCCTCAAATCATCAACTGTTTACGTAGCAGTGGTGTGGCTTTTACAGCCTGCTTTCCACAGCTAAGACATCATGAAACGCTTCTCCTGTCAGCCTCGGTGGAAAGGCTGCCCAGGACACAGCGCCCCGTTCAGACGGAACCCGCCCACGGTTCCCCTCCCGGAGATAACAGATCCTCAAGTTCTTCCAAAAAAAAGGAGTGACAAGAAACGAATTTTCAAATAAAACTTTTGGCTAATGTTCTTAACCTGCCTGCAAGGCAGTCTCATGCAACAGAATTCCTGACCTGCCCCTGGATTTTAAATCCTAAGTGTGGAATTTCACGTAAATGTGGGTGATGACACAGGCTGCTGGTAAAGAGCAGGCTTTAGCCGGTTCTCTAAACACTCTGAGCAAGGTCGCAGAGGAACCCTGGAGGGCAAAACCTCTACCAGCTTTCAAGAGGGAAGGAGGTCTTCTCAAATGGTGATATCAGCAGCCTCCTAACTCAAACCTAAGGTCAGACGCGGAGCCTTGCTTGAGCCGTGAATCAGCATCAATCAGCTGTATAGAGGGGCTTCCTCCTCGTTGTCATCAGTGATGTATTAGATTCTAAGCTACGGAATCACAAAAGGCACTTGCAATGAGAGAGGTAGTGAATCCTGAACACTGAAAATAAAGCATGGTGCAGAAATAAAAATAATTCTTATTCAGAAAGATGCTAATCTTACATCAAAAATATCCTGAAGACCCCAAGTTTGGATATCCACCATATATCCCATCACCTAAGGACCACAAGTATGGCGGGTGGGGCACACACCCTCCCAAGTGTTGGAAGAACTGCCAGTGCTAACATTTTTGGAGGCTTCCCCGCCGCCTCCCAGGAAGGTGGGGCGGCCACACCCTCCAGTCCCCCACTGGAGAAAGGCAGGACAGACTCGCCCGCCGCCCTGCTGTGGGAATCCTTCCTACTTCCTCCCCCCCCACCCAGCATCTTCTGAATGACCGTCTCACTGCCATGAGTGGGGAAAGGGTGAAATAAACCTCGTGGCAGCGAGAAACCCTTGCCTCTGCAAAGAAGACATCAATATCACGTGACCATTCCTGTGTCTTGAATTCCTGCAAAGACCCCCGACCTCCCCAGCCCTCCGTCTTCACCCTCAGCAGGAAGCCCACACAAGAGGGAAGCAAAACGCAGGTCCCATCCCTCTGAGTGCTCATCCCCAGAGGTGGCCTGAAAGAGGGCCACGGAGCCGGTGCCCATCCCTGGGGGCCAGCTCTCCTGTCTCGTACTTCTGAGCCGGTGAGCTGGTAGAGCTGCAGAGAGCATAAACCAACTTCCCCATTACTTTTAACAGAGTATGACAAGCGGGCATTCTCTCCTGGGAGAACATATCAAACAGCATGTTCCCAATCCAGATGTAAATCAGTTCGGCATCTGCCTTTGCTGAGCCATGTGTTTTCCTGAAAAGGTAATGATTTTACTGCCTTCTCAGCCACCTACTGGTTCTGTGGCCTCACAAGTAATTAAGTGTCTCCAAGCCCCTGAGCCTTCATCTTTAAAACCAGGGACCACACCTCAGTGGCTTCCAACCTAGAATCTCTTCCTTCATCTTTAGCCCAGCCAAGAACTCAGAAGTTCCGATAATGTCCAACAGCCAACTGGTTATCGATATAGTTTGAATTGAGAGCAAAACATACCTGATTGTACAGCCATTTCTCTTCAGTTTTTGGAGTATTGAGCCCCTGGGGAGTTGGGGGATCCCAGTTTGAGAAGACTCTATCTGCAAGAGCTCTAAGCCCCCTTGCAGCTCTAAGACCCTAGGATTCTCAGGGGAGCTGGCTGGGCGCAGGGCGCGAAGCTGGCTGGCACCAGCGATGCTGCGCTGCCACTGGGTGGAGGACACTCCCCTCCGCCGGGAGCATTTTGTCCTTGGGGTTCAGACCAGCCTTTCAGTTTGCTCCTTGGGGTGGCAGTGAAATGCTGGTGTCTGTTTACACTCCCAGCGCTCCTCCGGGCCCTCCCAGGGACCCCACCCCTGCTTCAGTCCCAATCAACTTTCTTCCACTTGTTTCAGTCCCTGAAACAAGTTCCCAGAGCAGACTGGCAGCTGTCAGGGAAGACTTTCCATGCTGGGCGAGAGGACCAGAGCCCCACCCTCCACCCTCCAGGCCAGGGAACAGAACTGGGGCCTCTGGGCTTGGCACCCGAACCCCGTCTGGGCAATGCAGGCCGCCTCGTGGCCCCAGGGACCCTGCCTTATCTCCAGGCATGCTGCCCAAACACAGTTCTTTCTCCTTCTCTGACCCTGCAGCTCCTCTAAGCACCCGCAGAGGACAAAGACTCCAGCAGCAACTTCAGATTCCTGAAAAGATGGAGCCCCGATGGTAGTGACTGAGTAACTCTCGGCTGGGCCCTGTGCCTGGACACCAGGGTAACCCCGAGCCCCCAGCGATGTGCTCCACCAGCCCCTGCCCATGCAGGGCACCCCCGCCTGACACCCCGATCTGGCAGAACTCAGAGTCCCCCCGCGGCAGCTCTGGAATCCTCGCAAAGACACTTCTGCAGACAAAGCAGATTCCAGCTGCGCTTCAGGAGGAGGAGGCAACACCAAGCAAACCGGGAGCCGTAAGCCCCGCAGCCAGGGCAGCGCAGGATGCGGGCTGCGCGCCTTCCCGCTCGAGGGCCACCCACTGCCTCAACCCAGCCAAGGACACCCAGCTGCCACCGCAAGAGAAGGGAAAATCAGCTGCACTTCCAGGCACCAGGAGCCTGTACAGAAAACAGCCCGCAAGAGAGGGAACACGAGAGCCACCAAGACATGGTCAGCAGGATGGAGGGCAGTCCCCTCTGGCCCCGCAGACCTTCAGCAGGGGGACGGAGGGGAGGTGGCACTTACCCTGAGCAAACCTGGAGAAGCGCGTGTTCCTGGGCTTCGACAGCCAATTATGTGCGAATCATAATCACCGGCTGCGTCTCCTTTCCCTCCTGCGGGAGAGGGGACCCCGAGCGGAGGTGGAACACTCGCCCTGTGGTCCTTGCCCGAGGCTGGCGCGGGAGAACTGAGCGGCCGGCGGGGGAAGACTGCGCTCCACACTGGCCCGGGTCCAGGGTACAGTCAGGGCGTCCTCCAGCTCCTCCTCCTCCTCCGTCCTCCCTCCTCCGACCCCTCCTCTCCCCTCCCCACGGCGGGCCTGGCCCACACTGTAAATGAAAAACAGACTCTGGTTCTGTTGCTCCTGGCCCCCGCCGCAGGCTGATGTCACCTCGGAAGGCTGTCTTCACCCTATGCGCCTGGAGCTGGACGCCTGCAAACCCCAGCTCTCGAAAAAAACCCACCCCTCCCACTCATCACCTTTTGGGCTGGGTTCCCCCAGCCGCACAGAGAACGGATTTTGGAATTTTTTTGTGGGTCTCCATGGTTTTTCCGCAGTGTTTTCCAGCACCATCTGAAAAGCAAACAGGAAATGCAGCCTCCCCTCCACCCTCACCACACCCTCGCATTTCTTCTTGAAGTTTCTGAACTGGGACTTCTCCTAATAGCGTCCCCTTTCAAATATAAAAGCCAGCTATTAAAAGTCACCCTGGCTCTCTGCTAACCGAAGCTCCATTTGCCAGTGAAAAGGCAAGAAAAAGAAAGACTACTTTTTTTCTTTAATTCTCTATATAATGGTTCTGATTGTGAGGCTGATGGTCCCATTCTAGGGCGCAAACGGGGGAACAAGATGATTATCGCACTCAGGTTTACAGGAGAATTCTTGAGAAAGAACCTGTGTTTCTCCAAGGCTTTGCACATTTCACAGCACTTTGATGTATTATCTCTTTCATCAAAATAGATATACAGCATTTTTAAATACATAATATGTCAGGGTTTTTTGTTTTGTTTTTGGTTAGGTGAGATTATGGTCCCATTTTACAGATGAGAAGAACTTGGGTTTGGAGCAGAGCTCAGATCAGAAACCTGGATTGGTCACCCCACACTGCTCACTGCTCTCCCACCTCGTGGCTCCTCTGAAAAGTCAGTTACTGTGAAATACCGAGACGTCCAAAGGACACTTTTGACTTGGGGATCCTTCCAATGCCAAGTTTGGAGAGTCAAGATGTGGTTAACTCCTTTCCACATATGACTTTCTTCAGGTTTAGGGAGGAAGGCACAAGAGACACTGACTTCTCCCCTCCTGCAGACCCAGGCCCCCTTATTCACCCACCCGAGGCCCTGCCCCTTCTCTGCACCCTGGGGGTTCAGCCAACAGAACGGCAGGACAGGATGGAGACCTGGATTTCGGCATCTCCCCGCCCATTGCCTGCAGAGGAAGAAGAAATGAGCAGCAGCCCTGAGTAGGAACCACACTGCCGGCTGCACGTGGTGTGACGTGCGGGAAGATGGCACTCCCACGCAGGGGAGACCCTCTCCCACCAGAGTCCTGGCTCCACGGGGCGGGCGTGGACTCAGGCTTGTGGAGCTGGGGCGCGCTGCCACCTCACTGGTCAGCAGCATCTACAAGTTCAGCCCCGGGTACCAGCTCCCCCGGGCACGTCACCCACTGCAAGGAAGGCGACGACTGGTGACGACTTTCTGTCCCAAGCAGCTCCGCTCACAGAGGCCGGGGGAGCGAGCATGGCCTGTGTGTTTCCGTTCAGCGGTTCCTTCCTTCAGATGCAAACACAACTATCTCCTTTGCAAACAGCTAAGGATACACAGTCCTTGGTGTTAAGAATTTACTACTGTTTAAACAGTAAGAGCGATGCATCATTTAGAGCAAGACTTAAAGAAACAAAACGCTCTGCTCAACCAGGAACAGTGCTCTGGGACTGATCATTGATGATCTAAACCCTTGCCAACACTGCCCGTGGCCTCAGAAACTTCTGGAAGCTGGCAGCAGCGGTGGAAAACCTCCCACATCCCTCCTTGTGCTCCCAGAGAGCGCACTGTGGCTGCTATGGATTTCTCACTTAATCCCTGGGGGCTGGGATTCTCAGCGAAATGACCAGCTCCTCCTGCCACCTGGTCCCAGGAGGAAACCATCTCACAGGTCAGCCCTGCCCTCAACGTCGAGGGCCCTGGGTCTGGCTGTGGCCCTGAGGGACCTCAGAAGTCACAGGCTCTCTCGGCCCGGCCCCCCTCGAACCAGCCCAGGCACCTCGTCCCGCTCCCTTCCGCACAAATGAGAAGCTTACCAGCCCTGTTTCCCAGGCTTCGCTGCGGTTCGGGCTCCGGCTGAGGATGCACTGATGTGGCACAGGGAACGGGAGGGGGGCACTGACGACTTTCCTGCTCCTCTGCCTGGCCTTCTCCCCGCCAGCCGGCCCAGTAAGGAGGTGCTGGGGCACCCTCGCAGATCCCCTCACAGGCTGGGACACCCACCACGGCCTTGGCACCCTCTTTGGGGGATGACCCTTGCCTGCGGGAAGCTGCCTCTTCTGGAGACGCTGGGATAGGCTATGGGGTTGGCTGAGTTCTCAGGGCGACCCCAGCTCTCTGGGTGCCAGGGGAGGCTTAAATGGAAGCCGTGAGGCAGTCGGGCAGCCAGACCCCACAGCCCAGCATCCAGGCCGTTGCTTAGGAGACCCCTCCCCCATCTTCATTCCCCTACCGCTGGATGGTGGCTGGGATCCTAAACTCAGCCTCTGCAGTGCGGCCGCCTGCATCTCCACATGCCAGGATGGGCCAGGGGATCATGCCAGGGGCCCCGGGAATTACTCCTGGAAGCCAGCCTCTCGCTCACCCCTCTGGCCCTCCCTGACAATGCCCGGCGAGGAAGCCCACCCCTGCTCACAACAGCTGGGGCAGTTTCTGTTTCTTGCCTGGAACCCCAACGGGTACAGATGTACGACCTCAGCTCTGAGGTTTCAGCTCTAACAGTCTGTGCTTCTAGAGTTCACGCGACAGAAAGACCCGGAGACGCCACTGAGCCCGGTGGACCTGTGGGTGGGCTCGTGCTGAGCTAGTCCCGGGCTCAGTCACACGCGGACTTCTCCGCTCCTCTCTGCCTCTGAAGGCCGTCTTCTCCCCTCTGCTGTCCCCCTTGTACCTCTCTCGATGCTGCTTCTGATGGATCCCGTCTGCCATCTGCATCTTCATCAAACCAGCCAACACACAGTCAGCCCACGCAGACACGGACCGTTACAGTGAACTGCAGGTCGCAGCTATGCCGGGAGACCCCATAGAGATATACACTTACGTGGACTTTGAATTCCTTTTTAAAAGAAATGAGAAATAATTTCTCCTCGAATGCCATGTCTTCATTTTAATCCGACATGGTAAGTCCACGCTGATGGAAAAGAGAATGCACGTAACACAATGCACACAGCCCTGAGGTTGTAACTGGCATCTCCGTCACGACAGGGCCCCAGGGAGCCCGCAGAAATCTTAAGAAATGTCCCTGGCAGATGCCTTGGGAGCAGGACATCGAAGGGTTCACAACCAGCTCACAGGAGTGAGCTTCCAGATGTGCACCCAAGCTAAGCCTTTGCCGTGTGACATCCTTAATAATCCCCTCCCAGACCAGTTCCCCACAACCACCCCACCCCGCACCGCCTCAACCACCAGCACCCCATCATAAACACTGGTAGCGCTAACAGAGCTGATGGAAGCCCGGAGCCCACCATGGTGACCTTTGTCTTCAGTTCAGAGGTGGGTGATCCGGGGGCCTGGCCCTCTGAGCTCACCATCCCTTGAAGAGTCAGGAGGTGCCTTGCTGTCGTCCACACTCAAAAGGCCCGCTGTGGGGTCACGGGGTCACAGGGTCACAGCCGGCACCTCCGGCTCCTCAGCCCCGAGGCCACTGCTGGAAACCAAAGGCTCTTCCCGGCAGCAATCAGCAGATTCGGCAAACAACAAGCAGACGTGGGACTGCAGCACTGGGGGTGAGAAAGAACCCCAGCTCTCCATAATGACGCCCCAATCTTAAAAGGTCATAATTGTCC